AATCGAGCTTCCGAAGACAGCCCTCGAGAGATGTTTTCATAGTGGAGTTCAACGCCAGAATAAAAAGACGAGGAAGAAAACAGAGAAAAAAGAAGAGGAGAGAAAGGATGAATCCAAGATCGGGTGTGTGGCAGCCTCACCGTTCGAGGGGTGGATTCAATCTAGTAGGATTACCCTCTTTTCCCATTCCTTCTACACCGCAGACGGTCGTAGGCGTCTTGGCCTATCGACTTGACTTTTTTTTTCTTCAGTTTCTTTTTGGCACTGAGTGTGTACACGCGTCAAGGGCTCTTTTATTTTGCAGCTTCATATCGGAGAAGGTCTAAGTGCCGAAAAAAAGTGAAAGTCTCGATATTACCGGGACTGGCGATTCGATTTCTCATGATGATGGACACTATCGGGGCTGTCATTCTTCGTCCGAGAAATATCCTCAATCTTGGGGGTAAAAAAAAATGACCATGGCCCAGTCCTGCGATAGTCGGCTTGGCGAATTTCATTTTTGAATTTACTTTACTTTACTAATTTTTTTTGGATAATATGAGCCCCAGAATACCCGAATATGACATCTATAATTTACTTGACCTTCACGTGACCTTCGTGGAGTCTTCATAATATTTCCTCATGACCTTTACATGACCCTCATAAAACTCAATTATAACCTTCACTTGACCTTCACACGATTTTTCTATGACGTTCACTTGACTTTCATAAGACTTAAATGTAATCTTCACTTGACCTTTACATGACCTTCATAAGATCCCCTATATGATCTCCCTAAAGGTTTTATAAGACCTAAATATGACCTTCACGTGACCTTATGATTTTTCTATAACTTTCACTTGACCTCCCTGAGACCCAAATATAATATTCACGTGACCTTTCTATGACCTTCATAAGACCCTCACATAACCTTCACGTGAAAAAATATTTTTTTAAGGTCGACTTCAATTCCAAAGCATCAATAGTAGTTCGACAGGATTTAAACATGTAATGACTTTTTACGAAAGTCAATTCATCTTGTCCAGTTCCCCCCTCCCTTCCCCGTGGACAATACTCTTTTTGCAATCAAGCAGCACAATGTTTCAGTGGAAAAGAAATTATCGTTCCCTGGGAAATGGTTTTCAGGAAGTAAAACAAAATGTAAAGAAGAAAATCACAAAGTATCTGAGAGGAGATTCAAGGGAGCGAGGAAAACCGCTGGGGCCAAGGCACTAATTGGAAAAGCGACCGCGAGACGAGAAATACAACAGAAGGGCGACGAGTCGTTCTTCAATGTGAAGGAGAGGATGAAGAAAAAAAAACTTGAGTTGAAAGTTTTTCCCCCGTGGATACTCTGCACCACTTCCGACTTCGTGTGACTGATATTGTTGGCCAGACGCCGGGGTAGAGGTCTTCTCTGTTGACATTTTCAGTGATAAGAGCAAACGAAACACTTTTATTCTACGTGGTGAGAGACTGGCAATTTCTCAGCACTTATGGATATTTGGAGTCACTTGTTTTTCGAGGGCAAAAGCCCAAAAACTGATCCACCAAAAATTTTCTCAGACAACAACTCCCCGGTATCTCTCATCTGACTTTTTCCGAATGATTGATTGCGTGAGAAAGGGGGGAAAATGATGACGGAAAAAATTGACAAGATATTTTTACAGATGAATGACTCAAATGTGAAAATTTATTGACGTAGGAAATATTGAGTTTGCCCATCGGTAATTCCCAATCTTAATTCATTCGTATAACCTCTGTGTCAATATGCATGATGTATGATTTCTCTATGACCTCATAACCTTCATAAGACCCGGATATGACCTTCACGTGACCCTTATAAGTCCCGGCTATAACCTTCACGTGACCTTCATAAGACCCGGATATAACCTTAACGTGACCTTCATAAGTCCCGGATATAACCTTCACGAGACCTTCATAAGACCCGGATATAGTCTTCACATGACCTTCATAAGACCCGGATATAACCTTCACGTGACCCTCATAAATCCCGGATATAACCTTCACGTGACCTTCATAAGACCCGGATATAACCTTAACGTGACCTTCATAAGACCTGGATAACCTTCGCGTGACCTTCACATGATTCTCCTACGACCTTCACATGACCTCCACACGACCCAAGTGTGATCTTCACATGACCTTTACATGACCTTCATAAGATCTACATGACCCCCATAATCCTCTACTGACGGATATTTTAAGTCGCTCATTTTTCGAGGGCAAAAATCAAAAAACTTTGATTCTCCAAAAATTTGCTGAAACAATAACTCCCCGCAATCACTTTCATCAGACTTTTTCCGAATAAATGACTGCGTTAAAAAAAGGGGGAAAATGATGACGGGAAAAATTGACAAGATATTTTTACAGAGGAATGATTTAAATGTGAAAATTTATCGACGCAGGAAATATTAATTTCCACAGCTGTGAATTTTACCAATCGGTAATTCCCAATCTCAATTCATTCGTATAACCTCTGTATTGAAATGAATGACGTATGCGCAGTACTACGTCAATTATCGCAGGCTAGGCTGCCTATGTACCGTTATTGTACAAACGTGCGTGTGTTGAATAATAACGAAAATTTCTAAAACGCTTTGTACAGTGGGGCGAGTGATGGCAAGGCGAAGGGGGCTACGCAGCGAGATATCTCCACGGCATACTAATAATGCAATCCACTTTGTATTTTTGTTGAGGGGGCCTTGCCCCACCGACACTGTAAACAACTGTGGATTTACTTTTGCTCTTTGCATCATAAATTCATGAATTCAAATTAGAAAATGGAAATCAGTGGGAGAGGGCGAAACTAGTGAAATTGATTTTCTTCGTGGAATGTGTGCGGAGAGGGAATGGAATTAAGTTGCAGAAAAATTAATGGGGTGTTGCCTTATTTTTCATTCACACATGGAATTTTTTTCATTTATGAAAGTTAGGAATTTGTGCATGAATGGACATAATTTTCTGATTGCATGTTCACATCGATATATCGAGGTTTATCGCACATCGATTTTATTCGAGATATCAAGATAAATGATGGGTCACCCAATTGACACAAGGATCAATCGATGATGGTAATCCCCTAAACACTCGATATGTCGATACATGGGTTCATCGATAGACTTGAGATATCGATCCGTTTTTACACTCGACTTATCGATGTTTTGCGATACATCGATCTATTGATATACCTGACACATTGATTCGTCGATATCATTTACATTCCTATCTATTGATAATTTTTGGATTGCGACTTCATATCGATATATCGAGGCTACACAATATACCGACTAATCGAAATGTGAATCAACTGATCGAAATCAAGACACTTAAGATATGGATCCGTTGTTACACTCGATTAATCGATTCTTTTCGATATAGCGATCCACTCGATACTACCGTCCTCTCTCCGTCCCTTGCCGTCTCCGTTTGTTAACTTCGAAGGAAAATATTTCCGATTATATTTACTCGCCGAGTTTGAAGTTAAAATTTCAAATATTGAGTTATCGCAAAAATAAACGAGTTAAAGTGAAGCAAAAATTTTTTTACCTTTTGAGCGTTCGCCAGTCCCGCATACCGAATCAATGAAAAAAAAAATTCGGCTGCTACGGGTTGTCTCTACATCTGAAGCTTCCAACATGACAGGAAGAGGGGGATGAGGGGATGGGCGACAGAGATGCTTCGCAAATGCATAAAACACATTCCAGCGATAAATCTCAGTGACGTTTCTTGACTGCTCCGGGCGATGCTTGATTTTGTTTTCTGCAGTTGGTGGAACCTTCTCATACATATTAAATATTCCAGCGACAGCTGACGCGCGAGACTGTCCAAAGCTTTTCGCGTTTAAGCTAGCTTGTTACCTAGTTTTCTTGTTCGAGGTGGGGGTGAAAATGACGTACAATTTTCTATGATTTATGAGGAGAGGACTTGGCTAAATTTGAAAGTATAACATCGTCGGCCAATTTAATGTTTACTATTCATGACTTTTCTTTTGTAGAGAAAAAGCTGCAAATATGATACTTGATATCTGCTAGAACGGTTTATGAGACCCAATTAGAGTTTTATCTATTGTGACGTCTTAGGGATTCTATCAGGTAGTTGGCCCTCACCAACTTTATCAAATTTTGACGTTGATTCCACGCTCCTGAAGACCAAAATTTTATGGTCACAAGCTTTGTATAAGTCTAAAAATTCTCATTACGACTCCTAGGGGTCATATATTCTTATATAGGACCCTTAGGAAGATCCCACTGACTTGTCGCTTTTATATCGCCAGTAGCCTTATCAAATACTAGGGGGCGTCACCCACTGCTCGCTTCGCTCGCCGACCCGGAGGAGGGGCTTCGCTCGCTGCGCTCGCTTCGCTCGGTCCCCCCTCCCGCGTGACCGACCTTTATGGCCGTGAAGATTCTGTCGACAACTCCATTCTCCAAACTTCACTATTAAATAGGATGTGGATCCCCCATTATACGGACACCCTTCAATATATAGGTATTCCCCCATAGGCTTATAAAATGCAGCAATCAATTGCGCCAGCAAAACAGCCCTGTAATCAGCTAATGTTGTTCTGCCCAAATTTAACCCGCTTCATACAATAACGCTCGCTTCCTCAGCCTAATTGCATGTAAAGCATAATTTCTTTCTGCTTGCATTGATTACAGATGTCATTAGTGACCCTGCAAATAAAACAAAGGATCAAATAAACGCCAGGATCACAACAAGAGTTAACTTCACCAATTGAAAGATGCGAATTCAATGAATCGTAGCATGTACTAACCATTAAATTTTTCACCGTGCGTTATAAAATGATCGGGAATGATCAAGGAAGACAATCGCAATTGCACAGAAACTTTTACGACGTTCGATTAGTGAACGCGTAAGTGTGAAGAGGTTAAAAGCAAGAGAAACTCGGAGGGAAAAAGATAAAACCGCCAAGACGAGTGAAAATCATTACCGGAAGCCCGTAAACTCGTCCTAATGTCCCCTTCAAGCCAATAAAGATGTTGGTGGACGAGTGCGGGGGTGCGAGTGTGGGATGGGGTGGGCCACACGGGATGAAGGGGGGCTGGTCTACGCCAGGTGGCTGCAGAAACTCTGCAATGAGCTTTACCGGCAGTGTACCCTCACTCCACCCAGCAGGATCGATCAGGTCCCTTCGATCCCAGCACTCTCAGGTAATTACTGGATATAAAATTCTCGTTCTGGTTTGATAAGAAAAATCGGAGGACAGATGAGGGAAGGAATTAAAATAGGGAAAACCGAATGAAGGTAATCCATTTAATTGGCGAAAGATCAGTGGACTTTGAGTGCTTGCTCGAGCTGACGTTCTAGACTATTTAATGTCAATAAACTTATTCGCTGACATGCAAACTTGAGCGGACTTGAGTTATTTTGAGCTAATTAGCTGTCTTGAGACAGCTGTTGAATCTTACTCAGGACAGCTATTGAGACTTACTCAAGACTGCTTAGATCGACTGTCGGCTGACAGCTATTGAGTCTTACTCGAGACAGCTCAGATCGGCTGTCAGCTGACAACTGTTGAGTCTTACTCGAGACAGCTCAGATCGGCTGTCAGCTGACAGCTGTTGAGACTTACTCAAGACTGCTCAGATCGGCTGTCAGCTGACAGCTGTTGAGTCTTACTCAAGACAGCGCAGTTCGACTCAGGATAACTCAAGACAGTTCGAGGTGACCAAAGCCAGCTCACGCACTAGCTCAAGACCACTCAAACCCGCTCAAGCTTGTCTGTCAGCGACTTGGCAAGTCGCAGAGTCCTAAAAAATGGTTGATAGGAACATGACAATACTTCCAGTCTGAATCAAAAATATTCCTTCTCTTTGAGACGAGTAATCTCAATGCCAGATAGTAGATTTAGACGATTTAGACGAAATATTTCTCGCTGCAGGCGCTTATTTTTGCATGCGACATACCTTGAAAAAGGAATAAATTCAAGGGGTAAAAATAAAATGAGGGTAATCTATTTGGATGGTGAAATATCAAGGGACTTTGAACGTTTGAAAGAACACACGGAACCTGCTGGATATATATCTCAACTGGGTTTCCTGCGAGACCCGAGTTCACGCTAAGTTTACGATTTTCCGGGGTGAAAGGCCCCTGTGCATATAAACCCGTTATTTTAGAGGGAAAGGTCTCTTTGGGGGTGGAAAGGGGGGGGGGTAGATTATTGCACACGTTTCATTTGTTTATATACGCCGTGGTGATTGATGAGAGAGGGAATTCACGGGCGCTGGAACGAACTATACATTCTACCTGGAAGATTTGTAGTCCATTAGCCCGGTAGCCAGTGAAGAGCATGGATTTACCTATCGCAAGTCTGTTGCTGAGTACTGAGTGCTAATGGACTCAGAGAGGATTTTTCTTGTCAAACTGAATCACTAATTTTATCTATTTTCGAAGATGTATGGAGAGCTTTGTAGACGAAGATTGGTGTTTGGTTGATGCGTTTGGATGAATATTATTGACGCAAGATGGAAGAATCGTCGCATTCTCATCATGTATTTAAATTAAGGGTCACAAGGGTAAAAAGGGTTATAAGGGCCAGATCAGGGGCTATGAGGGTAATGATAAGGGTTATGAGGGTCAGGTTAAGGGTTACAAGGGTCAGAATAAGGGGTACAAGTGGCCAAATAATTACAAGGGTCCAAATAAGGGTCACAAAGATCAGATGAAGGGTTCAAAAAGGTTACGAGGGTCAGATTAAGGGTTACAACTGTCCAAATAAGGGTCGTAAGGGTCAGATTACAGGTCATGTGGGTCAGATCAAGGGTCATGAGAATCAAAATAAAGGTTACAAGGTTCCAAATAGAGATTACAGGGGTCCAAATAAAGGTCACAAGGGTCAGATTAAGGCTCATAAGGGTCATTAGAATCAGATTAAGGATTCAAATAAGGGTCACAAGGGTCCGGTTAAGGGACATGGGGCTCAAAAATCAAGAGTCAGAAACTAAAGATCACCGGGGTCAGAATAAGGGTCACGAGGGTTACAATGACGGCCCCATTAGAGATCCAAATAAGGGTCACAAGGGTCAGATTAAGGATCGCAAATATCAGAAATGAAGGGTCAGTAACTAAAGTTCACAAGGGTCAAAATATAGTCACAAGGGTTAGGTAAAGGTTCGCAAGGGTCTAAATAAGGGTCGCGGGGGTCATATGCTAGTCGGCAGGCGGAGCAAGCACGAGGCGCAAGCTCCTAGTTATAAACGTTATCTATGAAAAACATGGAGACAATCGTAAGAAAAACCTGTTCTCCAGGGAAATACCTCAAAGTACATTTTAATCCGGTTTCCCCTCATTTTAGAAAAATATTTTCCTCTCAGTCATCCCCAATTCCCCCCCCGTAATATTAAAATTAAACAGGTTCCAGAAACACCACGACGATGTCACCACTGCCACCCGGTACACGTGGCTACACCAAATAATTACGTACCTCATACACCAGTGCAGTATTACACACCGAGTCACTGCATGGACGGTCACAATGGCACGTACACGCCGCACCGTGGCAACTCCTACCACGGGGGTGAGTTAAGTTCATTTTTCAATTAGCATAAATCTGGAAAATTTACGATGTTAATGCTTACTGCATCCCCACGCACAACCCGTCCCCCGGCTCTCCCTTCTCTACACCGTTGCAGGTCTCCTCGCCACTGTCTGTTTACCCAATCCGATGGGTGGGGAGAGGTTTGATTGATTGAAGCGATTTATTGTGTCCTGAAGTACTAACAATTCCCCGAGGACAATCCGCACAGTTTTTATATGTTTTGGCGCTAAAATGCAGATGGCTTTTTATTTATTAATAGAAAACGATTAATAGAATTGCAAATGGTGACTGCATAGTGGTCTAATGATGGAGTTTTTCAATTATTTTAATTAATTAGAAACAATTATTACTATTTTTTGCAATTATTCATCTAATTTTATTTCTAGTTTTTAAATTTCTTTTAGTCGTTATTATTTTAGTTCATTCCTTCCAAATTTTTTATTTCACCTCGCGATTGGACTACTTCTCCACAATCTTTCCTAAAATTCTAAATCAATTAATTTTTATTTCCTATTTAATTTTTTCAATTAATAAATTTTTTATTTTCAATTAATTAAAAATTCAAGAGCATAATTACCGGATTTCTCCTGCTTTCTACTAATTTTCAGTGAATAATTGAAATAAAATTACCGTTCTCATTAATTTTCAACGACAAAATTCCTCGAAATATCAGTGAAACTGAACTGTGATAACAATTTCTGAAAATTCTGCCGGAAATTGCAGCTAAAAATTGGCAGTACTTCCAAAAAAATGGTTTATTTGAATTGAATAAACATTATTTGAATCAAACAAATCATCGATTAGAATCAAATAAATGATTTACTTGATTCAAATAAAATTCACTCAATTCTATTTAATTTATTTAATTTCATCCGGAGCGAGAGTGCAACTACCGTCGCCTGTGTGAGCGATTCAATTTTCCAAACCTCCAGCCACAAAGTTCGAAGACATTAATTATTTTTCTAATAAAAATCCTTCGGAACACCATCGACTGTCCTGCATTATTGGTCAGCTTGAATTTTAATTTTTCGCGTTCAGTCACTCGCTCAAACTCGAAGATTTATCTTCCTAAAGTAAAGAATAACCTGTCTCTATCGTCTCCAATGGATCAAGCAGGTACTGCCCTGAATTTGTTATTCAGTCGTTACCCTGATGTAGATATTTTCAACGATTCAATGGTTCTCTAGTGAATAAGGCATATGAAACTGCAAAAATTTATTATTGACGTCACACGCAACAATTACGATCTCTTTTCTTTTTGTTTCCTATCTTCATCTCTTCTCTTTGCCGCTAGACATTTATGTTAACCTCTTTTGTATNTTTTTTTTTTTTTTTTTTTTTTTTTTTTTTTTTTTTTTTTTTTTTTTTTTTTTTTTTTTTTTTTTTTTTTTTTTTTTTTTTTTTTTTTTTTTTTTTTTTTTTTTTTTTTTTTTTTTTTTTTTTTTTTTTTTTTTTTTTTTTTTTTTTTTTTTTTTTTTTTTTTTTTTTTTTTTTTTTTTTTTTTTTTTTTTTTTTTTTTTTTTTTTTTTTTTTTTTTTTTTTTTTTTTTTTTTTTTTTTTTTTTTTTTTTTTTTTTTTTTTTTTTTTTTTTTTTTTTTTTTTTTTTTTTTTTTTTTTTTTTTTTTTTTTTTTTTTTTTTTTTTTTTTTTTTTTTTTTTTTTTTTTTTTTTTTTTTTTTTTTTTTTTTTTTTTTTTTTTTTTTTTTTTTTTTTTTTTTTTTTTTTTTTTTTTTTTTTTTTTTTTTTTTTTTTTTTTTTTTTTTTTTTTTTTTTTTTTTTTTTTTTTTTTTTTTTTTTTTTTTTTTTTTTTTTTTTTTTTTTTTTTTTTTTTTTTTTTTTTTTTTTTTTTTTTTTTTTTTTTTTTTTTTTTTTTTTTTTTTTTTTTTTTTTTTTTTTTTTTTTTTTTTTTTTTTTTTTTTTTTTACCTAGTGCGAATATGTAAACCGCAATGCGTTTATTATTCCCAAACTATTTGTAGGTCTTGTAATTGGCTTCGGGAGTGTTGACTTGAATAAACAAATAAATAAATAATTCAAATAAACCACGGCAGGCTCTGATTTTGAACGCAATGGAGCTGCCGAGATTGCTAGCCGGATCAGGGCTGAGGACAGATGGAGTCGGTCAAATCTACGAGATTTTATCGCGGTTAACCCAACAATACATCCTGCGGATTACCTATTTACAATGTACATACGTCGCGCTGGGTTTCTCGTTTACGTGTCAGAATTTACGCACAGTAGGAAAGTTTGAGCGGCCATTTGCCGGCTTCCGTCTCTGTTGGAGCCGCTGGTGCTCTCTTGCTCTTCCCATTTGTATGTTTACACTGGGGGTGAGTTGCTAGAGAGCAGTCGTTCAACTGAATTAATACGTTACCAGGAGTAACTCCCTGCTGTTGGCATCCTCCAGAGGACAGCCAACAGTCGGAATTATACGGGGAATCGTAATATAATGGGGGTCTGCCTGAGGTGGACGGGAAAATATGAGAATGAGAGAGGATTTTTTATGCGGGATGTACATTTAGTTTTGTGTTGAGGGGAACATAATTGTTTGTGGATGAAGCGGAAATCTTTTTATTTTTTTTTACTCTTTTTTTTAAGATCAAATCAGTAGCGAAGTGGTCAAACGATTTAAGTCGACTTTGGCTACTGGGCAGTTTTCAATGAATATCTCGAAATCTAAGGGAGATAGGAAAATTTTTCTCATAACCTTGTTAGTAGCTCTCAATTTGCTCTACAAAAAAGGTTATTATGAAAATTTCGCTATGTCCTTTGGATTTCAAAATATTTCTGAAAAACTCAAATAAAGACTAAATTGACTTAAACCGTTTGACCACTTCGCTACTGAAATGTTTTTAAGTCAAATGAAAGGGAGTGATATGCAGTCATTTTTGTGTTGAATTGAACACAATTGTGTAGGATTTAACTAGGATTTTTGTTTATATGGGGAAAGTTCGTTCTTGAATTGAGGAATTTTTGTGAAAAAACAAGAATTGCGATTTTCGTAAATTAATGTAGATGTGAATGCTGATGTAATCGGCAATGAGCACTAATTTTGGAGCATTTTACTCTTGAATATTCACTCGAGTTTATCGTACCGAACTTTTGAAGAGTTTTCCTCTGCAATTTAAGTGGAAAATTCCGTTCTGCGAAGACAATGAAACTAGGGATAGAATTTTGTACCGGTCAGACTCTAAATTTAGAAAGTTTTAATGAGTGAATTTTTCAATTAAATTAGTTTAAACTTATTGAATTCATGGATAATTAATATAGTACTAATATTCAGTCAATTTGCATTGAATTCAATACTTTTGTCTTTAAATTAAGTATTTTTTTACTTGAGAAAATTTTTTTTTTCATTGAGAACATTTTCGACTTGAATATTTGATTTTAGTTTTTGGTATTCAATTTTTGAAGATTTTCTTCTGCAATTTAAGTGGAAAATTTCATTCTGCGAAGACAAGGCAACCAGGAATAGAATTTTGTACAGATCAGACTACAAATGTGGAGATTTCGACGACTAAATTTGTCAATTAAATATAATTCAATTAGTTTAATTCATAGATAATTAATTTATCAATACAATTAAATCAATTAATTAACAGATCCAATTGATGAATAATTTAATTATCAATTTAATCATTCATGGATAAATTGAATGAATGAATTAATTTAATTTATGGATAATTGACAGTTGAAAAATTGATTGAATTTCAACTGACAAAAAATTACCCCCGAATTAAACTAAAATCCTCACGTTTCAGACCGCAATTTCCACTATTCAAATAAATCGATGACTTCCCCCATGCCTGATGGAATGTACGAATCATGAGCCCCATTTGTCAGCGACATCGATGCGGGCCGTCACTTCGTCGCGATCTCTCGCGCGAGATCGAAAGGACATTGACTCACTGACTGACCATTCAATTCGTGAAACGCAGGTCTCGCATAACTGTACTCTCCACGAGCCAAGACCTATTCACGACAAAACAGCGAGCAACTCCCGAGATCTATTTTCATCATCACACTCCGAGATATAATTCCCCACATGCGGCATTTCAGAATTTTTTAAATCCCGATTTAAAAAAAAAAACATTTGTTACTACATTGACAGAAAAAATTACCTCTGCCGAAGACTAACTATAACTATGTATTCCACGTGAAAATATTTGACGGAGTGGAACAGATTAACTTGAGGTAAATTAACCAACTCGACAGAAGGAAATTTAATACCTTTCACAAAAATTAAATTTTCGTCGTGATCATCAGAAATATCCCTAGAAGAATTCCAACTGTTGGCAGAAAAAAATAAAATCTATTGTACGACAATCATTTGATCTGAGAGAACTCCACAGGTTTACACCACAGAAAGAATATTTTTTTCCCCAAAAAAATTGTCCCCTCGAAATTATTTACTTTTGCCAATAACACAGTTATCGTCAAGAAAATTGTAGTTTCTTCTTGAAATTATCACTTGTTCCATGGAAATTATAAGTGTTTATCGGACAAAGATATACACTACTCAATAACATTGACTTGATAAAAGATGTAGACCGAATGAATTAACCCGAAAGCCATATAAATATCTCACGAGAGCAATTACTACAACGAAAATTATCACGTTTCGGTGGAAACTTTCTTTTTTGTCCACAAGTAAATTGATTCAACACGACAAAAGATGTCTCCAGGGGACCATATAATTTCTCCCAGTGTCTAAAAATATTATTTTCGTCCGCTAAAACCCTCTCACCTCCCGACACTAGATCGCGAACTCTCGTGTCGAGCGGTTATCGACTTTGTAATCTAGTGATCGACCGTGGCATTGACCCCCGGCTATCAACCTTGACCACTGGAGGCGTGACAGTCGTAGAATAATGATCAGTACTCACCAATGGAGCCTCAGCACTGGGCGTTCGCGCCGTACGATTGGCTGACTATAACCGTCCGCGATCCTCCCAAAAGCATTTTTCGGCTGCTCTCTCGCGTCAACTGAAAATAAACCCATGATTTTCAGTATTAGGTTAACCTGAGAGGGAAGTGGGTCAAGTAATCTCGCATTAAGTTCAGTCACGAAATCGCGATTGGAGAGCGCTGGAGACCCTTCGGACACGTCTTGTAGGGACTGGACGGGTCGTACGATACCATAAAAGGCGCTAATTCTAGTGAGTGAGTACTTCAGCGTTTTTGCAGGGGAACGCATGGCGTTTCGCACAGTAGGTGGTCTCGCTCGGCCGTAAATAGAACAGCTCCAGTGGTATTTCGTGGTAAAAAACAGTGTCAAAGTACTTGTGCGACAAAAGTGATTGAACATAATTATTTTAAATGTGCGGCGCGCGGTCGGAGTCATCTGGTTTACCGGCATGCGCCATATTGGTATTATAAGGGATCAGAGTTGCGGGGGGAGGAGGTGTGATGGTGCCTGAGAAGTTTAATTGTAATTGATTGATGATAATTAATGAAATAGTGTGAGTTTATTCAACGGTTGAGGAAGGCGTTGAGTGATGGTCTTGGGGCGACAGCTGATTGAATGATTTGAAATTTAAAGTTCAGGTGAGATGTTATTGGGTGCGGTAATTATTACGGGTGGGAAGTATTACTTGACCGGAAGTAGACGCTGTGATTGGTTGGTTGTAACTTTAGTTGTAGTTCAAGGATTTTTTCTTGTTAAGAAGAAATTGAAATTAAAACTGAAAATACAATATTGAAATTTTAATTTAGATTCAAATTTTTTTGTCAAGTTGGTAACATTATGATATGTTTTGAATTTATTTGGCACGCAATTGTGCCAAAATACATGAGAATGCAGTGAAATTTCATGGAAAAATGGATTTTACGAATTTCACACAATTTTGGTGAAACTTCAAATTTTTAAGACGTGAATATTCTGTACAAATTGTGGTGAATGTTCAATTAATTCAATTTAATACAAAATTAGTTTTTAAAAATGATTATTTTAATTAATTCAGTAATTTTTTAATTAATTGAAAATTTGAAAATATACTCCCCTGAATTTTTCTCATTTCTATGGATTTTTGTGGAATAATTGAACTGAAATTTACACTTTCCACTGATTTTTGTACATTAAATGGTGAATTTTCAAAGACGAAATTATTTGAAATTGAATGGAAAATTAAGTTTCACAAATTTCATGAAATTCCTAATTTTACTAAAATGCAATGAAATTTAAGATTTTTAAAACGTGAATATTCAGAGTCAAATTGTAATGGATTTTCAATTAATTCAGTATAATAAAAAATGAATAAAATAGATGAATTATTTTAATTCATTCGTTAATTAATTTTTTAATTAATTGAAGATTCACGAATATAATTCCTTGAATTTTCCGGATATCAATCAATATTTATGGAATACTTCAACTCAAATTTACAGTCCTCATTGATTTTTTCACAAGAAAAATTCAATTTTTAAATTAAAAATTTTTTTTTTTCAACTAAATTTTTTTAAATCTGTTTTTGATGGCACGATTTTTTTTTAAATTTCAGTAAGACTCGCTAGATAAAAAAATGAATAAAAAAATGAAAAACCAAAAATAATTTCAACAATCACTAAAAAATGGTGAATAAATTTTGATTTCGCCCTCACCCTTGAAAAATCAAGAGCCTGAAGGGTCGCAAGAACGATTTCCCGTCATTCTTTTGGAAATTAGACTACAAAAACTCCATCCCCAACAAAAAAAAATTCATTCAATTCTTTCTGCGAACGTTTTCATCCCGTAACTGAAAAAAAAGTTAATCGAGAATTAAGAGACGGGAAGGAGAGCCCAGAGAAGGAAGAAAAATGTAATGGAATAGTTTCCACTTGCGTGAGTTTCATTTGAAATGTTTCCTATCGCGTTCGGGCGTCCATTAACCCCCCGCTCTGTTGATTCATGCTCGTTGGATGTTAAAGGCTGCAATAGAGTCCCCAAAAATTGAACATTTATTCATTGCTACTGGAACTCCGGATAATTGGATCGATATGGGAAATTGAATATCCGCTGTGGAAATTCGTGGCAGACAAGGCGTATTCATTGGCTTTTGAAATATCAGTACAAAGTGTTTGATCTGTCTCGCACAGCAGTCCTCATTATGCCAATTAGTTGTGATGCTCACGATGCAAATGCTCTTGCGTAATGAAATGAACTGACATCATGCGGAATATTTCTTTCCGATTTGTCTCGGGGTTGTTGACATTTTATCCTCGGGAGACGCCGTGAAAAAATGTAAAGCGTCATTTGTGGGATCTCATTGCAGAGGGATGGTTCATATTGCAGTCGCGGTAGATTAAATTTCATTTTTTTGGTTAATAATTGGAGAATAAAGAGTCAGAATAGCCACGAGGTTCAGAATTTTTCGTTTGGAACAATTAGGCTCACGAGAGCTATCTGCGTCGTCATTCGTGAAATTCTAATGTTTAAAAATGTAAATGTTAAATTATTATTTGTTAAACATCAATATGAAAACTATGTCCCCCTGAAGAGATTTTTTGCCGTGTTGAATCAATCCACTTGTAGAAAATAAGAAAGTTAAAACATAATTTTCGTTGCAGTGATTGTTCTCGTGAGACATTTATATGTCTTTCGGGTAAATACTTTCGTTCTACAGAGAATTATATGAGGCTCCGGTTTTACCAAGTCAATGTTATTGAGTAGTGTATATCTTTGTCCAATAAACACTTATAATTTCCACGGAACAAATGATAATTTCAAGAGGAAACTACAATTTTCTTGACGATAAATGTGTTATTGGGAAAAGTAAATAATTTCGAGGGGACAATTTTTTTTTGGGAAAAAAATATTCTTTCCTCGTCAATGTATTCTTTCTGTGGTATAAACCTACGGAGTTCTCTGAGATCAAATGATTGTTGTACAATAGATTATATTTTTTTCCACCAACAGTTGGAATTCTTCTAGAGATATTTCCGATGATCACGACGAAAATTTAATTTTTGTGACAGATATTAAATTTCCTTCTGGCAAGCCTGGCAATCTGTTTCTATCGTGTTTTGAAAAAAATATATTGATGCATAAATAAATGACTAAATAAATTCACATGGTTTTCGTGAAAAACAAATAATTATTCATATATTTGTCGAACAAGATTAAAATTTTTTCTCAAATATCGACAAAAATGAGGGCAACTCCTTTTTTACTGAATCAATAAATACATAACGCTCATGAATGTAATATGATAATTATCCCTTTCCTAGTCTCAAATAAAATTTACCTTGAACAGCTGTGTGAACTTGGAGTCGAAGTTTGATAAATCGATTTTTTTTCTTATAGTATCGATTGTACTCAGTGAGTACCTGAACGTACCACATTCATTTTCGTTTGTACCCCGCATCCCTAGACGTAAAGGGTGCGGAAAAAATGGTGCAGCATCGGAAATGAAGGTACGGAAAAAATTTTCATGAGCAAGGATTCAGCATGGATAGTACTTGTATGTACTATATTTTTCCATTTCATTTATCAACCCCTTCAATACTTTACCCACTTCTAAAATCTTAAATGTATGAAGGACGTCAGGCAAACATACAGATAGCTTCTAAATCGTTACTACTCGTTTGTACCTACGAAAATTATTAATTATTATTATTATTATTATTCTAATCAAATCACCTGATTCCATTTTTATCAACCGTAAAATCATCGTAATGGATTCCATATGTAGTTCGTGAAGTTTTGATGTGGGTACGTCTCATCTTCCGTACTTCCACTCCCATCGCAGTACAAACGGAACAATTTACTGTACATGATAATGAGACCAAGTACAAACCATTAAGAGCTTCAAAAACAGTCGTAGATCATTCAGAAAAATGATACAAACGTTTTTCTGAATTTTTCCGAGATAATCGCGAAAAACGAAATCGCCAAAAAAAATTAATTTAATTCATCTGGTGTAGGGAGTAAGAAGTGGAAAAACGCAATTCTGAGCCGTCCATCTGCCTATAGGGAACCCAAATTTCCTCAGGAATCGAATGGAATAGGTTTTAAGGCTCTATCTCTCATAGTTTCCGCGATAATCGCGAAAAACGAAATCGCCAAAAAAAATTAATTTAATTTATCTGGTATAGGGTGTAGGAAGTGGATAAACGTAATTCTGAGCCGTCCATCTGCCTATAGGGTCCTCAAATTTCCTCAGGAATCGAATGGAATAGGTTTTAAGGCTCTATCTCTCATAGTTTCCGAGATAATTCCGGAAAACGAAATCGGCAAAAAATAATAATTTAATTTATCTTGTATAGGGTGTAGAACGTGGAAAAACGTAATTCTGAGCCATCCATCCTCCTATGGGGAACCCAAAATTGGTTTTAAGGCTCTATCTCTCATAGTTTCCGAGATAATCGCGAAAAACGGAATCGAAAAAAAAAATTAATTTAATTTATCTGGTATAGGGTGTAGGAAGTGGAAAAACGCAATTCTGAGCCGTCCATCTGCCTATAGGGACCTCAAATTTCCTCAGGAATCGAATGGAAGAGGTTTTAAGGCTCTATCTCTCATAGTTTCCGAGATAATCGCGAAAAACGGAATCGAAAAAAAAAATTAATTTAATTTATCTGGTATAGGACGTAGGAAGTGGAAAAACGTAATTCTGAGCCGCCCATCTTCCTATGGGGGACCCAAAATTGGTTTTAAGGCTCTATCTCTCATAGTTTCCGAGATAATCGC